CTGGTTTATGAACGTAACTGATCTCGAACACATAACACCAAGCCAAAAGAATTGTATTAGATTCAATCTGTGGAAAAAAAGTTATACATAACAAATAATGAATAGAAATATAAAAAGAATTATACATATCTAAACCTAAATGAAATAGACGATCGTGAATATGATGAGGAAGTGATGAAAGAGATGACTATAATCCCTTATACATTATTTGAGAAGTGATTCTCTAGAAAAGGTGATGTGTCGCTTTCAAATCACTCTCACAAATTTTATTGTGACATGACAATTATGACATGACAATTCCTAACTAATTTGGTAACAAAATTTCATTAAATTACATTGTTATGCCATCCTCATTTATTCCCTATAATAAAACAAAACAATTTTTATTTAAAAATTAAATACAAAAACGTAAATGCATTAAAAAATTTTATACAAGAAACTAAAATTTATAGAAGAAAAAAAAACACAACATATTAAACACAAACTCATGAAAAAAAAAACAACATATAAAGTAAGTAATAAAGAATAATTTTTTTATTATATGAATGTGAAATATTTAATTACATGAATATAACAAAATAATCTAAACTCAAAGTTTTGAAATTAATCTAGAAGACCTCATACTGAAAATATACATATATCGAAAATTAATTTTACAGCATGTAAAAATATATTTTATAGTTAGAAAAAGATAATTTATAATCAATATCAGTTTTTTTTGGAATATTTGATACCTAAAATTTAATCCAAGAAAATCTCTTATGGAAGATAATTGTGTTATGATAATTCATTTTGTTATGAATATGTTTTAAGATAATTGTGATTGATAATTCATTTAATTACATCAACCATATTTGAAAAGTAATTTTTTCTTCATAATTTGCTTAGTGAGCTCTATAATCACTCTTAACCAAAAAAGTTATGCCATCTAAAAATAAAAATAAAACGTTAATATGCCATCTAAAACGTGAGCTCTAGATTCCAAATTTTTATTTGACTCAATAATATTAAAAATAAAAATATGCCATCTAAAATTGTCAACGTCGAATTCAGTTTATATTTAAAATTCAATGTGAAAAAATTATTAAAAAAAAAGATGATCAAATAGAGGATTCAATTTTTTATGAGAGGAATCTCAACTTTTTATAGTAGATTGTGCATTCTAATGTATTAAATTATTACATATTTGATTGACACGTTTATGTATATAAAATAATAAATGATATAACTAAAGTTTCAAAAATTCATATTATTGAGAGAAAAAATATTGTTGACAAAAAAATTAACAACAAAAATATCAACAACCATGTCTATAATAAATAAAACAAATACATATTTTATATTT